AACCCCCAATGGGTGTCAAGTGGCCGACCTGTCATCAGAGGAAAACACCATTACATGGTTGTTTAACGGTGAGACCGGCATCCATACCAGCGATGGGCAACAGATCCATCCGTTCCGCATCGTGACGCAGAATACAGTGTCGTCATCCATTTTCTCAAATTGCGTGCCCAGTAAAAAGTGGGTCAGCTCCGAGAAGGGCACTTAAGATGGCAGACGATACGGGTCACGGTGACGAAGGCACCTTGGCATGTGAGGTGTTCCTGCCCCCTGTGGCTTACCTTGGGGGAAAAAACAACGTGGACCATGTCATGGGTGCACATTTTTTGAGAAGCGGCCTGCCTCCTTTTTCCCGCTAACACAAACCGCTTTTCCTACGACACAGGGAAGCTGCCATACCAAAGGGCAGCCGTAGAAGGGAAGGATCAGAGGAACGCTCTCCATTTTTTTGGCTGCGTAGGTTTAAAATAGATATAGGTATACTCTTTTTTTTTCCCCTGTTCGATTTCTCTTTTTTTCTTTCTTTCTAATTCACCCAATCAGGTTCTCCCCCAAAGACGGATGGATTTACTGGCATCAACCCCCTTTGTTTAAAAGCAAAAGCGTTTATTACCGGCAGAAAGTCCTTGAAGAAAGACTGGCTGACTAATTTAAAAGCTGACTCAACGTCCCTCCCGGTCTTGCCTTCTCACTGTCGACACAGTGTCTTTGAGGTTCAGGGAAGAACTTGGTTTCTGTGGTTTGGTTTGGTGTTTTTAATCTCTTTTTTAAATATATATATATATATTCTTTTTCCTTTTTCCGCTTCGTGGGAGGTGTCACAAAGCAAAATGTGAAGTGAGCTCTCTACCACCTGTCGAGCCAAGAGATGTAGAAATGTCCCTTTAAGTCAAGGACTACATTGTCCAGATGTCTGTGGCCAGAAGACAGGGCTATCTCAGGGATTATGGGCGTGGTAGTCCAGAACAGGAACGTGTGTGCGCTCTGAGGCAAATAACGCAGGACATTTGCAAGGTAGATAATGATAAAAAATTAAATAAATAATAAAGAAAGTTATATAATCAGTGAATATCAGCGAGAACTTTGGGCCATTTCCTGCAAACTCTGTTGTGTTGTGCAGCTTTTTTGCACTGATTGGTGGATCTGGTATGGGAGGGCATAGAATGTCGATAAACATTCGGCTGCTGAAGTGAAAAGGCACTCCCAGAACTTTAGCCCTACGGGTTCTGTGAGGGAAAGGAAAATCGTGATTCTGAGTAGTTATAAAACGGAGGTAGCTAAGGCATGAGGAAAGAGGGCACCAACCACAGGGTTACATAAAGCGTAGGGAAGGACTGATCAGATTTGAAGGAAGAGTTGCCAGTGTGTTTATTCACACCCGCCCTATGATAAGGCTAGAATGCAGGACTCTGCGACTGAAGTGTTCAATTCAAGAAAGCCGGCTTTCACCTAGTGCAGAATGGGTCGGTGGGACTCCCTACCACAAGGTGTGGTGGCGAATACAGGCGTGGGAGGCACTAAAATGGAGCAGGATTGGAGAAATCGGCGGAGGGCAAGAAGGAGTCTGACAGCCGCTATCAACCGTGAGGGCAGAATGGCACTTGACATTCAGAGAGATGGTTTGCCTCTGGGAAGACGTTTGCTTTCAGCCCCCCCCCCGAAGAGCGTCCCCACAAACCTCTGGCTGGGACGCTGTGGGAGAAAAAGAGTCCCAGTCCGACCTACCCATTTCCCCGAAAATAAGACCTAACCTGAAAATAAGCCCTAGTAGGATTTTTCAGGGTGTTCAAAATAGAAGCCCTCCCCCCAAAAATAAGCCCCAGTTAAGTGAAACCCCCACTCTCCACCCTTGTGCAGCCACTGGAAGAAGTTGACATGACTGTATTTGAATAAATGTAGATGGTTGTAAAGGGGAAAAATTAAAACATCCCCTGAAAATAAGCCCTAATGCTTTTTTGGGGGGGGGGGAGCAAAAATGTATATAAGACCCTGTTTTATTTTGGGGGAAACACGGTTTCAAAAGTCTTCTTAGGGTTATGTGCCATGCCTTGGGAAGAGCGCAGAAGCAGAAGTTGTTCCTATTGTGGTGTGCTTGTTGTTGTTGTTGTTGTTTTTCCTCCCTCTTTCTGTGAGTCCCCTTTTCGCAGCCACCTGCCGAGAGATGACACAGCCCTCTCTCCTCCCGGCTTTCTTGTGGTTTCTTGCATTCGAGATGCTGCCTCAGCAGGT